TATGAGCGCCAAGTGGACTGGTCTAGATATAACAGAATGTGCAATGGCAGCTGGCTCGCGACTGTGAAGGATGGAGGGTCATTACACGTCAACGTCTTGAGTCAGAGATAACACCTCTAGGTATGTGAGCCAGTGGCCTTTACACTTTGCAGTCACTTGGTGCAATAATGTGACAGTGAAAATTATCCGTTCCGGCCACCTGGCGCAGTTCTGCCCCCAGGCCCGAGAAGTCTGTTTCAGTCCCTCTCCTGGCTGGGTGACCAGATGGGGTATTTTGTACTGCTGGCTGTGTGACTGCAGAGTGTTACACACTGGATAAACTTGCTGACCCACTCACAACATGTATTGTGTGGGTGGTTGGCGGGTGCTCTGGTGTGGTTAGCTTCTTCTTTCCTATCAAAAATCTATCGTCCTTATCTCCCCTTCTTCTTTTTTTATGTTTGTTACTCTCTTGTAACAGCTCTAATCTCTTGGTACTCAAATGACCTTATGCAGTTGCGAGCGCCATAAAACCTCTACTAAAACTTAAAAAAGACCTGAGAAGTCTGTTGCAGTCACTCTCCTGGCTGGGTGACCAGATGGGGTATTTTGTACTGCTGGATGTGTGACTGTGCAAAGTGTTACACACTGGGTAAACTTGCTGACTTACTCACTCACTGAATGTATTGTGTTGCAGGTGATCGCGGCCGAGGGTGAGCAGAAAGCTTCTCGTGCCCTGAAGGAGGCCGCCGACGTGATGGTCCAGTCGCCCGCCGCCCTCCAGCTCCGCTACCTGCAGACGCTGAACACCATCTCGGCGGAGAAGAACTCCACCATCATCTTCCCACTGCCCATCGACATGCTGCAGGGGTTCATTAAGAAGTAGTTCAGTCGCACCGGCGACCGGACACCCGCGGCTGTTGCTGACTCGTTTGTGTGGCTGGTGCAGCCGGCCTTCTTAACCCTCACTGCAACACACGCAGGGTGGGGAGAGGAGGGGAGGATATTGAAGGGGAGCAGAGGGCAGGGTCAGGGGGGTGGCTGTGGTAGATGAGACAAAGATGTGAAGGAAGGCGGAAGGAGTGAGGAAAATGATAAGTGAATGAAGGAGAACGGGAGGAGGAAAATAAAGATGGAAGGGAAGGAAGAGAAGCAAAAATGAGAGGAAGAGGAAGAAAATGCAAAGAAGTAAAATGTAGAACTGACTGTCACCACAATTGTTTACCTAAAGAGTTGACAATGGATATAAAGAGAATTTAGAAGAACATTCAGTGATGCAGAGTACGTCAAAAACAGCTAGAAAAGTGGGGGTTTTTCATTATACAATACTGAGACCGCAAGTGAAAATTGCGTTGGCGGTAACTGATTATGAATGATATCATGCTTAACTGCCTTAATTTTTTATGGAAAGAGTTGCACAAGATATTCTTTTGAAGTGAGCATATTCTTTTGAAGTGAGCAATTTCCCTCACTCCCATCCAAGAAAATGTTTTAAAAAACATCAAGTGGATGTCCCTTTATCTTCTTCCTTCCTTCCTTCCTTCCTTCCTTCGATCATTCCTCCCTCATCTAGCAGAGCCATGTCCCCGACTCCTGCCCCCCAACTGATTTTGCCTTGAAGGTTGTGGTACTGTCTTTGGTATGGTAGCACTTTCTCTCAGACAGAATTAATTATATATATATGATATGAAATCTTTATAGAGTGGCTCTGTTACGTGTCTTTAGGGCCTTTGGTTCTTGGTTCTCCGAACCCGTGTCTCAAGGACACGGTCGACTCTGAGAGAATGTTTGGAAATTAATCTGCAGTAATATCTAGTATTGATATCAAGAATTAATTGTACCTTTTGTTGTTGGGTTGGTTTTTTTAATACTTTTTTCCCCCCAAGAATAAAGGCGGGTAAAAATTTTAATGGCTGTTTCCTGATGATGCTTTATTGAAAATTTGCAGAGGGCCTATAATTATTTTTGTTGGAGCTTTTTGTTTGATGATTATTTCTGTTACTGTTGTTTTTGTT